TTTTATGGGTGGGGACCAGGACCCCATGACTTGGCTCGATGAGATCGACTACTAACCTTGTAACTAATAACTGCCAAATTCCAATAATCGTTTTCTACCTAAAGGGTGTAGCAGCAACTTGGTGGACAACCACACAGCGACCACCAAACCCTATTAATGCCTGGAATGACCTGACCCACCCGAACACAAGTTTTCATCCCCACCTTATCATTCAGTTTCATACCCCCACTTTGGAAGAAAAATAGTTTGCTGAATTGGCTACCCGTAAGCAGCAAGTAGGAGAAGACATTGATATCTAACACACCGCAATTCAAGAATTGCTTCGTCAAATAGAAATTGAAGCTCAACCCTACCAGAAAACTGCTAAAGCCCAACTCTTCTTGAATGAATTGCAACATAATATTGTGCTGGCCGTTGCTTCTTTTACCCCCAATATATTACAGGTGGCATACGACCTCACCAAAGCCTATAAAGGCGTCTGTAAACAAAACTGCCTGTTCCTACCTACTCTATCAGTGCTTTGTATTTCTTCCAATCTATTCCAAATATATCTGCTGATTCCACACCTTCAGTAGTAACTTCTGAGACAGCCATTGATAAGTTAACCGAAGCTGTAAATAAAATGTTAACCCAGTTGCAAGAACGACGCGCACCTACCTTAGGAAACTTTAACAGAATAGTCTGTTATAAGTGTGGAAGAGCAGGTCATATTAGTCATAACTGCTATGCTACCAATATACCAAATACTCTATCTAATACACCCCAAGGTTACCCTCCTCTAAATCAATTGTATAGTCCCAGTCAAATCCTGAATCCTGTCGTATATCCTTACCCTAATACAAATTTCCAAAATACCTCTACACCTGCTAATCTTAACCCTGCTCATAATAATAACGCTAATACTAATATTAACCCTAATGCAGATAATGCGTCGGAAATGCAACCTCAAGTGGCTTTACAAGCCTTACTAGCTATGGCAGCTAGTTTAAATTCTTCCCTGGCCCAAGATAATTCAGATAACCAAAATACTGCTAATAATCAAACCACCTTTCTTAATTTATTCGAAAAAGATATACCCTTTTTAACTGTGAAGTCTCGGCCTTCGAAATATCTTCAAGAAGAGAATGGTGACCTAGAGTCTGGTGTGGAGGAATCATTAGAATTACTGCTAGAAAAAGAAAAAGAACAAGAAAAGGATAAACAAGAAAAAGAAAAAGACCATTTAAATAAAGAAAAAAATAACATAAATTAAGAAAAGAATATAAATAACTCTTCTAAGGTTCCTGTGGCTAAGCATAAACGTGTCCTGATAATTAGACGAAAAGTTCCTTAAGATGAGATACCCCAAATATCATCCTTGGTTCCATTATCACTGACCTATGTGATAAACCAGCTAATATTACAATTGAACAACTTCTTCACACCATTCCTACTATGAGAACTGAATTAATTTGAAGCTTATACAAAAAGAAGACCATTTCTAAAAGAAAGACAAAGGTTAATATTAATCTAGTTCCTAATAGTAAATCCACAGCTCTATATTGTGATGCCACCGTTCTTGGTGTAGAGGTGCCTATAATAGTCCAGAGGCGACCGTTCCATCAATTTGTAGATTGTTACACAATTAATAAAGGTTTTTTTTATATTGTTTTACAATACTTTTTTAGGAAGCTTGAGTAACTTATCCTGCTATGAAACGTAGCAAAGTGCATTAAGCAAACTTGAAGTATTTGAACCGTTGTATAATATATTTCATTAATCCCTGTTAATCCTGCACCGTTATTTTGCTATTTATTTACAAAAATATGTCTGGAAATAAGCAATGCGTAGAATGTCAAACTACTGAATCGGTCAAATTTAGATCTTTAGGAGACGACAAGTGGAATGTGGTGGAGAGTAAAGGTTTGGTAAAGGTAACATGGACAAAAGGTGATAATTTATGTAATAAATGTTATATGCAATTCATAGAAAATCCCTTAAGAAAGGGCCATAAAGGAATAAAAGCCGTAGTAGGTGAAGAAAGTGTAGAGGAGGTAAGCATAGTAGAAGAAGGATGCATGAAGATTGAACTCACTAAAGCTATCAAGTCGATAGCAAAAATTTTATGAAAGAGAGCATGTAAAAAATGAGGATCCTATCTATGTGTTTAATGAAATGCAAGAATTATTTCAAGAAACTGACCCAACTTTAAAAGATTTTTTTGATCAACTTTATTCTGCAGCTCGGCCACTTGAATGTAACAAGCAAACAATGGACCGTATGAAAAAATTAATGGTGTTGATATGTTATCTTCTTGGTTCTTTGAATAATATAAAAATTAACACCTTTAAGCTTGATCTTGCTTATTATTTAGATTCAGTAGATACAACTAATGAGGGCCTAAACACGATGGCAAGTATTGGCATATCTACAACAGCAAGAACTGTAGAACGCAAAAAGAAACGAATATCAGATATACATGGAAATTACATAGAAAATGCTCTTATAAGGTATTCAGAAAATGCATTTGTGTTGAATATCGAAGATTATCATAACATTCATGTTCCAAGACAAACTGAAACTACAGAAACTTCTCGACCAACACATATGGCGTCTATCTTATTAAATCCATGTTTTGCACCGGCAATTCTATGTAATAGAATAATCAATTCGAAGATCATTGATGATAAATTGATTATAAAACATCTTGATGAGCGATTTATCGTAAACCTTGAGATTTCTTATCATAATCACAGCCGTATGTGGGATGTTAGAAAAGAATTCACCGACGATGAACTTTTAAATAGACTAACGCTATATAGTTATAATGACAGATTAGCAGAGAGAACAAGTGAACGCTATATTAAAAATGCCATTCTCGTTGATTTTGTTGCAGGCAATTTGAAAACAACTAAAGATTATATGAAAGCTCTCCAAGTCGTTTGTGACTATGAATCAATGCAGATATATCTTTTCAATCATGCAATTCCCATTGTCGCAGACTGCCTGGACAATTTTTATTTAGCAAGCCATTGCGCAACATATCCTTGCTAACAAAATGACTATTTCTCTTTTTGTGACTAATTTTTTGCCTATTATAGGTCCCCTTCATATATCTCTAAATGCTCGCGAACTTGTTTTTAAAAAAAATTCAATTTTTTTTAATGAAATCTATAAAGGTGTATTCAGAACAGGTAAGGATCTTGGTAAGACTCCACATCCATAGAGAATCAATTTAATTCTTTATATTGTATGTGCGGCATGGTTGGATATAGCCGACACTGTTTATTTGAAATTCAGTCATATGTGTAAAAGTATAGAATTTTTATATTTGACTGATTTGCTAGGTAACTTGGTTCCTCTAGTTCTAGATGTTTATGCAGTGCATCATTGAGGTGGTAATTGGCCAGCCTACGAAGAAGCCTGCATGCATTGTTGAAGCAATTTTTTTCTTCGATTCGATCGAAAGAACTATAAGCATGCACCTCTAATGTTTTTTTCTGATATTTTTTATTGGATGAAGATTAGTCATCCAATAATTGAAATGTTTACTAACCATTTCCCTTTATTAAGTGATTGTCCTGTAGAAATTTTTTACAGTATTGTTCGACAATGCACCCCTAAGTTTTTCACAGCTAAACAGTTGCAATCGGAAGCACGTTTTATTTTTTAACGCTGGGAAGATAACGAGTTTCGACAACAGTTTGTAAATTCTGTGAAATATCTATATATACTGAAACAATTGGACATACTTTCTAAAAAAAGCGCCAAATTACTTTTAGATAAATTTACTAGGATATATCAAACGTGGAATTAGTATCCTTTGATTATTGAATTTTTGTCTGACGGTATTAACACATACAAGCTTTTTTTTTTAGGTTATGAAGTAACTGACTGTTATCTTCCAAGGGGCTTCGTTACCCCCAGAAAACCCAATACTGCCATCTTATATGATTACATGAATTGCAACAGCAATTCATCTGATAGCAGTATTTTGGCATGCGGCCACGGCTATCATAGCCTTTGCTTGCAAGATAGTCAGTTTAAGTGCTTCATATATTTTGATTACCTTAAAGGCGAGGTTAAGAAGAATGTCGAGGCACTTATAACAAGTTTGTTGAAGGAAAAAGTGAAGGTTAAAAAAGAATCCAATAAAAATAGGGAAGATGCAGGTGAAGATGACTGGAATAATTTAGGAGCAGTAAAAGATGATATTGTAGTAATAGAGAATCATTTAGAATTGACAAAAGAATTATTTCTTGCACTGTAAATTTATTAGATAATAAATTATTTTCTCTGTTTACATGATATTTACTATATAGTCTATTTTATTAATAAAAATTAATTATCGAAATTCACGATTTTGATTTGTTGATCATCTTAGAAATTTATCGGAAGTGATCTGCAGTTTGTGTAACGAGCACGGTCGCTTCTGGACTATAATAGTCGATCGTGGGTCCTCTGGTAGTGTTGTTACCTCACATTTACTCTATGACCTTGGTATTAAGGTTGAAAGACCCTCTACCATAAACATGGTAAATGTACATGGAAAAAGCAAATGAGCCCTAGGAGAAATCTTCAACTTCCCTTTCACAATAGCCAGTATAGAAATTCCCATTGACGTAGTCATAACCAATGCTAGTTCATATCATGCCATCATTAGAAATGATTGGCTTTCTAAGGTCCAAGCTAAAATTGACTGGACTACCACCAAAATAACCTTTACTTGACAAGACTAAAAAATAATTGTTTCTGTCGAATTCAAAAGATTACCATCTAAACCTTTAAATAAGAATCATTCTAATAAAGTAAAAAGCCTAAACAAAGAAAAAGAAGAAGAATTAGATGAAGATTTAAGTGACGATGAATATGATGATAAAGAATTAGAAGAGAGAGTTTATAATTACTCTGGTTTGGAAGAAAATAACTATCTTTCAGATTCTTCGGAATCATCAGGGTCTCAAAAAATAAATGACATTAATCCTTCTAGGGATTTTAAAGAAACAATCATCTCAACTAATATGTTTTTAAAGTTATCTTTGTCTAAATTATCTAGTGAATCAAAAGCCTCTAGTTCTAGTTCATTTGATTCTTTAAAATCAATAGGGTCAAGTCCAGTTTCTTCGGTTACTATCACGTTAAATCTTTCTTCATTACCAAAAGTTAATAGCAATGATGATTTTAATAGTATTTTATCTTTAAATAAAGTTACCCCTCAAAATGATAACCTATCCTTATCTGCAACTTCACCTGTGTTTGTTCCCCTAGAAGAATTAAAATCTAGTAGTAGTAGCATTCAACTTAAAAATATAGTTCCAGATAAAATTCATAATAATGTTTTACCTTTAATTATAACTCCTCCAGTAGTAACCTCTTTTGAAGAATTAAGATTTTATATGTCTTAACTTCAGGTTCAATTAGGGTGTTCCCTTAATGCTTCAAACAATTTAGAGTTTAGGTCCAATAATTCAACTATTCATCTCTAGCTGTATTACCAAAAAAAGTCTTTATTGACATTTTACAAACTTTACTCTTAAATTATATTTGTAAGGAAATACCTTTACAATTATCTAATTTGAACAATCCTCTTTCATTAGTTTATTTTCAGGCAATAACCTCTAGTAGTGACGCCTCACTTTTTCCTAACAAAAATTCCCTTAATAATAATATTCGTGTTACTAACCCTGCTAATAACTAACAACAATTCTTAACTAATATTAACCCTATTAAAGTTAACAAGATAGTATTCCCATTTATCGCCATTCCTAATCTGCCCATGATATTTCTTGAAGAAGACTCAGATGAGTCTAGTGATTCATGTTTCAAGTGGTATACATCTGCTTGGAAAAGAAAAATTCCAGAGTATAAGTATAATGAGAACGATTCTGATGCCGATAGTGAAATCGATGAAATTCAAAGACTGATTAAGTTAAAGAAAGAAAAACTCAAGTTCCCTTCCACTAAATGCTTAAATGACTTGGCTGGAAATGTTTATTTTTGGGAAGAAGAAGTTAAGCCGGATCTTCATGGCTACATCTCCAGTAAGCCTAAATTAATCCTATTAGTGATATATTCGATTATTGCTTTAGAGAAGAGATTAGTAGAAGAGAAAATTTTAATTTAGATACCCTAAATGAAGAACAAGATAAACAGCTTCAAGATTTTTTAAAGTCTTATTCAGCATTATTCGCGTGGGAAGGTCATAGGTTAGGATGTACAAATTTAATTAAGTATAGCATCAATATAGAGAACGCTTTCCCTATTAAGCATAATCCATATTGGCATTCACTTGCTAAAAAGAAAATAATTAAAACTGAAATTGACCAAATATTAAAAGAAGGGTTAATCCAACCTTGCCAAAGTCCGTAGACATTGCTTGTGGTATTGGTACCTAAACCTGATGGTCAAACCAGGTTTTGTATAGATTACTGAAAACTCAATTTGGTAACCCAAAAAGACAACTATCCTCTACCTCATATTCAAGACCTTTTGGATGCTTTAAACGGATCGTCCTGGTATAGTTCCTTTGACTTTGCCAGTGGATATTGGCAAGTTGAAGTTAAAGAAATGGACAAGCTCAAAACTGCATTCACCACCCATTTCGGTGTCTATATGTTCCATGTTATGCCTTTTGGGCTAACAAACATGCTGGCCACATTTCAACATCTTATGGATTACCTTTTCCAAGACTTGATAGGAGTGTGTGTTGTCATCTACTTAGACGATATTAATGTTTATTTGAAATCTTTCAAAGATCATCTTATGCATTTAAAAATAGTTTTTGAGCGGCTAAAATTGGCTGGTCTTACTCTTAAGTCCTCCAAATGTTTCTTTGGCCGTTAACAGATAAAATTTTTAGGTCATATTGTCAAAAAAGAAGGTATATCCATTGACCCTCAAAAAGTAGAAGCGGTAAAGAATTTTTTCATCCCTAAAAACTTGAGACAATTAAGAGGATTTTTGGGATTAGTCTCTTATTATAGAAAGTTTATTAAAAACTTTACCAAAATCTCCGTACCTCTTAATCAACTACTAAAGAAAAATAAGGCTTACGCGTAAAAAGAAGAACAACAAAAGGCTTTTGAAGCCTTAAAAGAAAATTAATTACCATTTTCATTTTAGCGTACCCAGATTTTGATAAAACTTTCATCCTCTTTATTGATGCTTCCAACGTCGCATTAGGTGCTATATTATCCCAAAAGAATAAGAAAGGCTATAAGCAAGTTATATCTTACGCAAGTCGAAGTCTTACCCAAGCTGAGAAAAATTATTCCAGTACTGAAAAGAAATGTTTAGCCATCGTATGGGCCATAGGATACTTTCGCCTCTATCTTTATAAAAGCTGATTCATTCTATATACTGACCATTCTGCTCTTAAATACTTATTTGAAGTTAAACTATCTCAAGACCATCTAGCTAGATGGATAATGACCCTTACCGAATATTCTTTCACAACTGTACATTGTCCCAGAAGATTCCACCTTAATGCAGATAGTCTTTCCCACATTCAATAGGTCGCCACCGATAAAACACTCATAGTTCTAAATAATTAAGAAAAAGAAGAAATAGAATATATATATATTAAATTTTTGGAACTCAATAAAAACAAAAATTGTTTTTTTTAATTTTTATACATCCTTTAAAAATCTGTCAATCCAGTCCAGGTTTTGGTGTCCTGGCATTATCAATAATTTTTTAGATTCCTAAGATTTATATTACCTGTTTTCTCTTTTTAAAAGAAAAATAATTGATTAGAAAATTTTTCAAACGTGAATTAGACCAAGTTAGCGGGTATGGATCCCCAATTATATTTATCTCATCTTCAATATCTCGTAGACACTATAGTATCTTTCCACTTTACTCCTCAAGAAATTAAGAGTTTAAAATATAAGACCCGTCACTATTTGGTCTTGGACAGATTATTATACAAAAGTAATCCCCGTTCTCCCACATGCCCATTATGAGTCCTAAAGAAAGGTAAAACCTGGCCCATCCTTTTTAGTATATATGATGATCCTCTTTCTAGACATTTTGGTTTTTTTGCAACTTACCATCAAATTGCCGCCTGATATTATTGGCCTCAGATGGGCAATGAAATTAAAGAGTATATTCGTATATGCGAAATATGTCAAAAGAAAAAGAAACCTAATACTCGAGAACCTCTTTACTCTATTAAAATTGGAAATCCATTCGATTGTATTGGAATTGACATAGTGGGTTCTCTTCCAATAACCTCTACTAATAAAAGGTATATTGTTGTTGCCACTAAATATCTAACAAAGTGGCCCGAAGCTTGTGCATTGAAAACGGCTGATACTGAAAGTATTGCCACATTCATCTTTGAAGATTTGATTTGCCAACATGGAAGCCCAAAAGAAATATTGTCAGATCAAGGTTCTCATTTTTGTAATAAAGTGGTTGATGCCCTTTGCAAGAAAATAAAGGTCACCTACTATACGTCCATGGCATATCATTCTAAAACAAATGGCCTCGTTGAACGATTCAACAAAACTCTTTGTGGAGTTTTAAATAAGTGTATAAACCAGTTTCACCAAGAATGGGAACAATATATACCTGCTACCCTTTTTGTTTACTGAACTACGCTCCATCATACTACAGGTTATGAGCCTTTTTATTTGTTATATGGTCGTTCTGCTATACTACCTATTGAAAGTACTTATATAACTTATCCTATCCAAATCGAGAATGAAGAAGAACTACAAAATCAAATTTTATGACGGGTCGAAAAATTAATAGGGGAAATAACTGAAGCCCGATTAACAGCAAAGAAAAAATAAGCAACGCACAAATAAGACAAAAAGTAAATTATGAGAAGAAGAATAAAATAGAATCATATGAAATCGGTGATCAGGTCCTATTATATAGGTCTGATCTACAGATGTCATATAGTGCTAAATTAGAACTCCCAATACCAGTCCTTACTATATTCATAATGTACTACCCTATGGGTTGTACAAATTACGAACAATGGCTAGACACGTACTCAAGGTTAAAGTCTATAGAAACCAGTTAATTCAATATCATTTACGACTATAGTTGTGGGACCCTCTTGAAATTATGTCAGTCGTGAAAATAAAAAGCCCACTCTGAGGATTTTGTTCTTCCCTTCTCTTTATTATACCCATCTTTCTTTCATTTATTCTTGACTATTTTTTTTTTCCTCTTATTTTTTATATATATTTTATTTTTTTTATTTTCTTTTATTTATTTTGTTATAGAAATTCCCACCTCTATTAAAAGAACTTTGCTACTTTAAAGACTCAAATGATAAATGCCGTCCTTGAAGGTAAATTTCACCATAATGTTTATCTTTGTTCGGGTTAGTACTTACTTCATTTCTGCTGACAATATTATTTATCTAACGGAACAGCAATCTCAAGTTATTAATTTTAATCCTCCTAAGTGCAAGACCGATGCCCAATTGCTGCATACTAAGCTACCAAA